GTGCGTGCGGTGCGGGTGCGGGGCGCGGCGCGGAGCGGTGCGGTACGGTCGGTGCGGTGCGGTGCGTAGCGGTGCGTGCGGTGCGGTGCGGTGCGGTGCGGGCGGTGCGGTGCGGTGCGTGCGGTGCGGTGCGGTGCGGTGCGGTGCGGTGCGGTGCGGTGCGGTGCGGTGCGGTGCGGTGCGGTGCGGTGCGGTGCGGTGCGGTGCGGTGCGGTGCGGTGCGGTGCGGTGCGGTGCGGTGCGGTGCGGTGCGGTGTTGTGCTGTGCTGTGCTGTGCTGTGCTGCGCTGCGCTGCGCTGCGCTGTTCTGTGCTTGTGTTTGGTTCTTGGGAACGGTTTTCAAGGGAGACCAAAAGGAGACCAACATATGTGGATTGTCCCTCACGACGCACAGAGTCCGCAAAAAGGAAACCAACCATTTTAGAATTCTTCTGACTGGCTGGGTTGAAGGGACGGATCGCAAACGGATCGCAACTGACCCTTTGCAGGGGATCGCAACCGGGTGCAAAATGGAGGCCTCCAATCACTCGCCCAAGGTGGGTGTCTCTTTTTTCGCCAGGTCGCCCATGTTTCTTGGCTTTGCCTTAAACCAAGAGGGGCAGACCAGGCCCAAGCAGGCGGCCACTTCCTGCCGAGACCACCCCCGCCGCGCCGTTGCAGTAGCCCTTCATGAGGTTCCCGTGCAGCTCGTGGTTGTCGAAGTGCATCGGCGGCTCCTGAGCCATCGGCCGATTTTCCCCCCGAAAAAGGCGTCAAAGGTGAGCTCCGTGGGAAGGATGCGAACAGTTTTGGGAGAAAAAATACGACGCGGGAGTCCCCCCGGTTTTCGTGGGGGAAACAAATCCCTGTTCGGAGTGTGAAAAAAAGGCGTCCCCCGGTGTTCGTGGGGGAAACAAGGGAAAGAGATTCCGCTTTTCAGTGTGAATCTCAAAATCGGAAAATCGGACCCCTTAATCGGAGGCGTTTCCTTTTGGTTTCAGCGGGCGAACTTCTTGCCGTGTGCTGCACCAGGCCCACTAACCCATGTGGAAGAACGTGTTTCGTGAGCTCATGCTACGCTGAAATGCGGCTCTCCACACCCAAATGGGTCTCTTTTTTCGAGGGTGCCCCCTTCTTGGTTCGGTCTCAAGCAACAAAAACACCGGAATTTCCTCACTGGGAGCCCTTGTTTTTGGGGGTGGGGCACCCCCCAAAAAAAGGAGGGGAGAAAAGCCGAGCGAGCCCCCGCCACCCCCCCCCCCCCCCAAAACGTCCCCGGCCGCGCGAGCGGCACAATGTCCCCTCCGAGGCGCGTGGCCGGCGAGGTACTGGAAGGCCCTGTGCACCACCGGCATCGAGCGGAAGAGCCGGGCCTCCTCCATGGGCCCTGAGCGGCTCGGAGCGCACCGGAAATGGAACCAAGCCTTCCAACAAGGTCCTGGAGGCTTCCATGTTAGTCCGGGAGGGTACGGGGCGCTCGAAGGCTTGGAGGCTCCGGGTGGGGGGGGGGGGGGGGGTGGGGGGAACTCCAACGACACGGAGATCTGCGCAAGAAGTTTTTGCTCCTCAGATCTCCCATGCGGAGATATCCCCCCCAAAAAAAGAGGTTCAAGCATCCTTCAGAAGACTCATCTGGTGATGTTGCAGAAAACCAGAGGGGAGAAAGGATGTTGGAAGCCAAGGTTCGGTGTGCGAGATGCTGGAAAAGTATATGGTCGAAAAGAGGGTCTTTGTCTTGAAGTAGGTGTGGCCAACCACTTTGACGGTCGCTGACAAGTGTCAAGGATATCTATGATGTGCTGTTGCTTGACGCATGGCCCTTCCCTTTGCTTCACTCGCTCAGCTCGGGGCTCTCACTTCGCTTCCCGAACACTGAGTCACGATATGGATGTCAACTATCATCTAATTTCTGTCCACCAACCATTTCTTCCAGGATGTTGCCTATTGAAAATCATAGCCGTACTGCTTGTTCGTCCATCCTTTGTATCAATCCCACGTGCCGCCCTCCAAAAACCTCGAAAAGGACCGGATTCGGGAACGAGGGCGGGGGGGGGAGGGGTTAGGCTCCCTTTCCCATGCGGAATCGAATCCTCAATCGCTCTGATCCCAAGTTTGTGTGGTACGTGAGCGGTTGGCCGGATTGCGCAAAAAGAAAACGGCGAGTTGCACGGATTGCCGATTGCCCAATCGACCAAAAAAAACGCTCCCTCCCTTTGCTCCCCAGAAAATGAACACCAATCCCCTACCAAACCGCAAAAGCGCCAAAAGCGAAATGGAAAAAATCCAAATCCCCGAATACTTCCGACTAAAGCCACAGCCTCAGCCCGCGAGGGTTCGTGCCTGCATACTTCTCGGCGAGGAAGTGCAGCTTCATTTGCCCCGCCGCCTCGAAGAGCGGGGAGGGGTCGAACCCGTCCTGCCAAGGGCGCGCAGAACGGTGCCGGACGGCCTAAAGTAGGCTTCCGGCGCGGTCAACTCTGTTAGAATACAGCTTAGAACAAGGGTACCAACTTTTTTCGGCGGTCAATTTTAGCAGGGGAACCCTCCCCCAAAAAAGGGTGAGAAAGGGCACTACTGGGGGACCTAAACTCTTTGGGTCTGTCTTTCTTTGATGGACCCGGGACACCTCAATTGGACAAGTCCCCCCAAAAAAGAAGACATCCCCGCACGGGGGGGAGGTTCTCGCAAATTGGATCTGGGAACCCCAAAAGAGACTTTGGGGCTGGCCGAACCGGGGGTCGAATCCCTGACGGTCCGGAAGGGGAAAGGAGATTGTTGTTGTGGGCTTGCTGTGAATTTTTTTTGGGGGGGGGCTGGCCACTTGCTCCAAGGAAGATATGTGCTTAGGAGGCGCCACTGTTGGCCCGAAGCCGGGTTTTGGGGGGTTGGCCGCTTGTCCAGCTCGGGTGGCAGGGGCCCCTCAAGATGGGCTCGCCCTCGGTTTCGGGAGCGCGGGAGCGCGCAGCAAGCGCGTGAGGTCGAGTAACGCCACTTTTTTCGGAGGCGAAAGCAGGACAGCCGAAGCGCCACTTGCGCGAGTCCGTCGATCCAAGAGCACTTCAAGAGTCTTGGTGGAGCCTAATGGAAACCCTGTGATTCAACGTATCTTGGACAGGGCAAAGGCTAGACCAAACATAGGCTGAACCTTTCCACGGCTGACAGTAAACCAGCCAAATACGGCAAGGGTGGCAAATAGGAGCCCTATATAAGTCCTAAGGAAAAGGCAAAACAGAATCTATCCGCCAGTGCAAGATTGCAAGTCTCGGCCATGTATCAAAGTGCATTGACAACAAGACAAACGTGCGCCCGGAGAGAGAGAGAGAGAGAGAGAGAGAGAGAGAGAGAGAGAGAGAGAGAGAGAGAGAGAGAGAGAGAGAGAGAGAGAGAGAGAGAGAGAGAGAGAGAGAGAGAGAGAGAGAGAGCAGAGAGACAGAGAGAGAGAGAGAGACAGAGATGTCAAACTACATGCTTCACTTTGCATGTATGTTCACTACCGCAGGCCTTGAGCTTACTCCTTGACTTACTACTCCGCATGAGTCAAAAGGTTGGCAGCTGCAGACTACATTGGTTGACTGTTTGTTTGAACACTACAGCACTTGCACTTGTAAGCAAAGTAACCACCGATTTTAACGTGGTAGCGGAGCTGAGATCCTAAACATAGGGGAGCTCCAGTAAGCAGTAAGTACTACAACAGAGCAACAGCAGCTACATGCCAAACTACTACGACATGTCAGGAGAAGCAGCATCAGCCTCAGCACAACAAACTACAGGAGCAGAGAACGGGCCAACAGCAGACACAGTAGGAGCCACGACTACGGGAGCAGGAACAGAACAAGACAACGACGTTCAGAGACTACATAGATTCAGTAATTATATTAAGAGTCCCAGATCCATGGGGTTTAGACCTTACCTCAATTTATCTCAAATTATCTCAAAGTATCTCAAATTATCTTATTTTTGCATCTAATGTGCAAAAAGATGCAAAAAAAATACAAAAAGATGCAAAAAAAATGCAAAAAGATGCAAAAAAGTGCAAAAACATGCAAAAACATGCAAAAAAGTGCAAAAAAGTGCAAAAAAGTGCCAACAAATGCAAAATCCTGCAAAAAATGTAAACAAATGCAACAAAATGCAAAAAAAATGCAAAAAAAAACAAAAGCAACACACACAAAAGTGCAAAACAGCATGCAAACAGAACAATTATGCAAACAACGTGCACGAAATGCAAAAACAACAAAATCAACAAACTAATGCCACAAACTGCAAGAAATGAAAAAACAACATCAAAATGAATGTCGGGCATGGCAAGCACTAAAATCATGATGACAACAATGAATCCCATAATTCTACAAAAATGCACGATGAGGCCTCCAAATCCGTTGGTAAAGGTATGTTGTTTGAGAAGGGCCTGGTGTGTGGGTGTGGGTGTTGTCTTTTTGTTGCTCGTTGTTGGTTGTTGGTATGTTAGTGTTTGTTGTTTGGTGTTTGTTGTTGTTTGTTTGTAGGTTGTTGTTTGTTGTTTGTTGTTTTGTGTTTGCTGTTTGTTGTTTGTTTGTGTTTGTGTTTGTTTGTTTGTTTGTTTGTTTGTTTGTTTGTTTGTTTGTTTGTTTGTTTGTTTGTTTGTTTGCTTGTATGTGTGTTTCTTTGTTTGTTTGTTTGTTTGTTTGTTTGTTTGTTTGTTTGTTTGTTTGTTTGTTTGTTTGTTTGTTGTGTGTGTTTGTTTGTTTGTTTGTTTGCTTGTTTGTTTGTTTGTTTTGTTTGTTTGTTTGTTTGTTTGTTTGTTGATTGGTTGGTTGGTTTGTTTGTTTGTTTCTTTTGTTGTTGTTTGTGGCGGTGGTGTAGTTGTAGCTTCAGTTGCAGTTGTAGTTGTAGTTGTAGTGATGGTTGTAGTTGTAGTTGCGGTCGTAGTTGGATTTCCACTTGCAGTTGTAGTTGTAGTTGCAGTTGTAGTTGTAGTTATTGTTGTAGTTGCAGTTGCAGTTGTAGTTAGTTGTCGTTTCTTGTAGTTGCATTTGTAACTGTAGTTGTAGTTGCAGTTGTAGTTGTTGTTGCACTTGTTGTAGTAGTTGCAGTTGTTGTTGTAGTGGTAGTAGTTGTTGTTTTTGTGTCTTGTTAGTTGTTTGCTGGGTGTTGTTTGTTGTTTGTTGTTTGTTGTTTGTTGTTGTTGCTGTTGCTGTTGCTGTTGCTGCTGCTGCTGCTGTTGTTGTTGTTGGCGGTGGTGGTGGTGGTGATGTTGTTGTTGTTGTTGCTGTTGTTTCGTTTGTTGTGTACGCTGTGTTTGTTGCGTGTGTTGTGTTTGTTGTGTTAGTCGTGCGCGTGTGTGTGTTGTGTTTGTTGTTTACCCTTGTGCGTTCGCATTAGCAACAGTTAGACCCAATTGTTCTGCTTGCGCCGCCTTAAGTTGTTGATTTTTCCAGAAGATGAACGGGCCCGATCATGGCTTGCAGTGATACCCTTTGTCAATATCAATCATTGACGAACAGGCTCCGAAATGGCCCTCCCCATTCCCTCAAAATTCCTTCACAATTCCCTCACAATTCCCTCAGAACTCCCTCAACAATTCCCTCAACAATTCCCTCGGAATTCCATCAAAAATCACCGCGAGGCCTTTTTCGAAATCCCATCAAAATTCACTCCACGTTCACCTCAATCACATTTCCTTCAAAATCCCAGCGCGTTCCCCTCAAAAATCCAGTACACTTCCCTCACAATCCCAACAACATTCCATCAAAATTCCATCAAAACCCCATCAACATCCCATCAACATACAAACAAACACCTCAGCATTCCTGCAAATGTCCTTCATAATTGCCGCGCAATTCCCACACAAGTCCTTCAACATCCTCTCAAAATCACCTCAATTTTCCTTTGAACTTCCGGCAAGATTCCCGCACAATTCCCTGAAATCCCTAAACATTCCATCAAGATTCCCTCAAAATTGCAAACTTTTTGGCGAGTTTATCTCAAAGTGCCTCAACGTGCTGAGCTTGTTGACTGTGTGGGCCCAAAGCTGCTTAACAAAGTTATATCCGAGTGTCCAAAAAGTCTCAACTCATTCTTGGTATGCCCCCGCCACTTTTTAACAAATTTACCTCAACGAGTCTCACAACTTTCAGCTTGTTCACAGTCTATGCCCGCCACTTTTCGGGAAAGCCATCTCAAAATATCTCAACTCACTTCATGTCACATGCATATTTGAGATAATTTGAGATAATTTGAGATAATTTGAGATAATTTGAGATAATTTGAGATACTTTGAGATACTTTGAGATACTTTGAGATAATTTGAGATAATTTGAGATAATTTGAGATAATTTGAGATAATTTGAGATAATTTGAGATAGAGTCTGGGGTGAGTGTTTTGAGATAATTTGAGATAATTTGAGATAATTTACATCATGTGAGATAATTTGAGATAGAGTCTGGGGTGAGTGTTTTGAGATAATTTGAGATAATTTGGGATAATTTGAGATAATTTGAGATAATTTGAGATAGAGTCTGGGTGAGTGTTTTGAGATAATTTGAGATAATTTGAGATAACTTGAGATAATTTGAGATAGAGTCTGGGTGGGTGTTTTCAAATAGTTTGAGATGTTTTGAAATAATTTGAGATAGAGTCTGGGTGAGTGTTTTGAGATATTTTGACATAATTTGAGATAATTTGAGATAGAGTCTGGGTGATGTTTTGAGATAATTTGAGAGAATTTGAGATAATTTGGGATACTTTGATACACTTTGTGACGTGGAACAACTGGGCGGGCTCGTTTAAAATTTCTTGGGGCCTCGGAAACCTCAAACGAGCCCACCCTTCAAACCTCGTCGGCAAGGGTTCAATGGCTTGTTGGGTTTGGGAGAGATGCTTTGAGGTAGAGTTTAGGGTGAACTTTTGAGATAACCTGTATTGAGATGAAACGAGATAACTTGAGATAGGGTTTGACTAAAATCGATTGAGATAAACACATGTGCCTTGAAAAAACTTGAGGTCGTTGTTCATTCTAGCGCATACGCGTGAGGCTCGAAAGCGACCGCCCAAAAATGGCCGACCCCCTTCCCAAGCCGCGCGTGTTCCCATGCACTACTGTTGTTGGTTGTTGGTACTTCAGTGTTTGTTGCTTGTTTTTGTTTTGTTGTTCGTTGTTGGTTGTTGGTATGTTTGTGTTTGTTGTTTGTTGTTTGGTGTTTGCTGTTGTTTGTTGTGTGCTGTTTGGAGATTGTTGTTTGTTGTTTGTTGTTTGGTGTTTGTTGTTTGTTTGTTTGTTCGTTTGTTTTGTTGTTGTTTGTGGTGGTGGTGGTGTAGTTGTAGTTGCAGTTGTAGTTGTAGTTGTACTTGTAGTTGTCGTTGTAGTTGTCGTTGTAGTTGCTGTAGTTGTAGTTGCAGTTGTAGTTTTAGTTGTAGCGGAGATTCCACTTGTAGTT